AAGCCCTTTACAAGTACAATTTGTGCAGTTCATCGTCCGTTGTCGGATGCTGGCCTCTTCTAACTACGGTTCTGTTTTGAAAGCAGCTTCAAACTCTTTATAAACAACATTTAGTACTATACTCACCCTTTTAGTCTTTATCTTAATAGGTCTCCGGAGTTGTTGCGGTTGGTAAGTATGTCAACATCGGATATGGCGTACACATGGGAGTTAGAGATTATCCACCTCTTAGATATTTGAGGCTGCTAAGGGTCACCGCTTAGGATTTGAAGCAGCGTGCATTTTAGAAGCGATGGCGACGTCAGTGGCTGATAAAACTCCGTTCCCAACGGAAAAATAGGGACCTTCAGCAGTTAGGACAGAAACACCAAAGAAGAAGTCGACTTAAAAACGAATGCATATTTTTAGTTGAAATTTCGCGAATGACTGGATGTGTTTACCATCTCTTACGGCGCCGTAATTTAACCTAAGCATAACGTATGAGAGCTGCGTTGAGTTCCAAATGGAAACTTAAATAATTTGCCGTCGAGGTTTCCTTTCTCAGACCACGCAAATTTTGATGATTTCACGTTGTTATTTTGCAGAGGACGGCTAGGAAGTTTTTTTTTTACACGGTTTTTCGAAGCTCGGATAACGCTATTCACTGGATAAATCTCTATCCGGTGGATAACGCTATATGTTTTTCTATCACTTATCCGTTGGAGAGCGATTTATCCGTTGCATAGCATTATCCGCCCTTTACACAACTGGGCCCTGGATTTAATACATTTGCATCAGTAATAGTTTGGGAGTAAAATAAACTTGAACCTTCATGAGTTTATTTGGAATGCTGACTCACGAGTATCTGTGTTCAAAATGGAGAAACTGAAAAGGAGGTTGCTTCTGATATCTTCGGAACGCTTTCGAAAATGGAAGCAAGTTTTCGCTTATCATAAAATACTATGCGACATATTCTGAATGTAAAATGTCACGTCCCAGACTTCACAAAAGTTGACAGGTATATTAGAGAATTTATTGCTTATGAAAGGCCCCTACCATAGTTAAAAAAATTGCCACCAATGAGAAGTGGTTGCTTGGGAAGGTTCGACTGTGATGCGAAGGTATTTTGTCACAGCGTCACCTCGTGTAAAGTCATCTTTAAGCCGCTGACCTTTAAGCACTCTTTTTTCTTTTCACCAATGAAACGTTAGTACAAAGATAGAATACTTACCAAAGTTTCAGCCTCCAAAGTGCTTTCTAACCATATGAAATCCTTACTCGAAAATCGAGCAATAAAGCCGCCATCTTGGATACGCCGCCATCTTGCGTGACGTCATTGAGCTCAACCTTGCGGTGAAACAAACATGGCTGTTGTTAAAGCGTATAACTTAGAGCCAGAACGTGTCCTCGAGGAGAACAAGGTGTCCAATGACGATAGCGATACGTCTGAAAGACTTAGAAGTTTGAACTGATCGACTGCGTTCGTAGTGAACTCAGAGAAACTGTAAGAGAGTGTATCTGTTGTCTCGAACAGCCTGAATCGGAAAACAGGTTTACGGAATTTTTTTTCTTGAACTTTGTTCTTTTCGACCCTTCAGTATGCTTTCTGTTAGGCATCACCTTCGAATTTACGTGATCAAGACTAGTTCTGAAGACCCCATTTGGGAATCGAGCCTTACCAGAATTTAGCATATATAATAATTTTTTCATGTCAGACCTGACCATAACAAAGGTTCGAATTTCCTCAAGCTTGACGATGTGAGATAAAAGGCGAGTGAAGGACATATAAGAAAAAAAGCAAACTTTTCTTCAAGGAATAAAACAAACGGCCAGAAGCTTTGGAATTTTTTTACATTGCATCGCTTTAATAAGTAACAATATTGCACCTCATTAAGAGAGCATCACCGCTGAGAACGAGGCATCGCTTTGTTGCTTTTAATATTATTGGAATGTGTGCGTCGCGTTGTCATTGCGACCCAAATTCATTTCCAG